CCACTCTCCCCCCTCTCTCTCTCCTTCTCTCTCCTCTAAGAACTAACATACTCATTGAACATACCACTATGTACATCTGGAAATATATGTCTGAGAGCTGCCAGAGGTCTGTCTGAGAACACGTCTGCCTTTTTGACCAGCGCCTCTTTCAGTACGTCATGGCCGTTCAGAAACACCATGTTAGTGCTGCCCATTCGAAGCATGAATATGTCTCCCAACCTGTACACAAGACCATCGATGAATTTACATACTCAGAAAGTCATAACCTGCGTATGATACTCTCAAAGATCTCAAAGATACATACCAACATTGGTGGTGAAGCCTTTATTTTGTATCAATCGGGCACACCATGTGCTCCGATGTGTGATTCTATGTCTTCTACTACTTCTTTAAGGTAGTTTTCATTGCTCATTTATCCCCTATCTTGTTCTTGGTAGAGAAGAAAGTTACATAAAATTACCCGCCAACTATTCAGATTTCTGTTTACGTTAAAAGGAATCTCAAGCATACCATATAAAGATGCAGTTAGAGCGAATGCTAAAGGGAAACTTCTGTCGTTTCACTCGAAAGTAATACTTTGTTTCCTTTTATTCCGAGTCGATTGGGGGAGGGGGGGAGGGACATAATACATCAACCATAAATTTACCACCATCTAGATTTTATAGGATATAGTGTAAGACTTTAGAGGACAGTGTGAAGTATTTGAGGCACTGTTAAAAAGAACAGAAAAACATTTGCATTAAGTGGTGTACCAATTATAGATAGATATCTTAAATAGTATTTAGATACACGTAATATTTTTCTAAAATTTACATTAGATACATCAATGGAGTGCTTTATTCTGTGGTTTACGCCATGACGATGATACCTTCTTCCTGTAAAACCCACCTTTCTCTCCATTTCCGTAACTGCTGTAAAGGGTTTCTCTCCATCATGTACAGATGTCCTACGATGGGCAAAGCCAGGCCTGGAGATGGCGGGAGTTTTCTGTTGTCTCTGTCGGAGGTCAGGAAGTAAATAAGTGTGACCACGCCCACTATCACCAGCAGCCAGGACGTGGCGCTCAGAGACAGGACAGTCTCCAACAACATGGCGAGGGCTTCTGGAAATAAATAAATAAATAATTGGATAAAGCATATACATTTACATATATACATTTATTATGTGTCTGATTGTTTAAGCGGGATATAGTTCGAAATACAGGCATTCCATATCATGGCTTTTGGTCTGCTCTCAGACATATTATGTCCCCTGTGTCTTTAAAGAGTTAAACCTATTTAATTGCAACTGTCCAATAACAGTGTCACACGGCGAGATGATGGGAGGGGACGGTGCACACGGTTGGTCGACACAAAGAAACGATTCACACCAAGCTTAGCTCTTACTCTCGTCGCTGCCGCAAGCAATCCACTTGTCCACATTTTTAGAATTTTCAATTTTTAACACCCACTCCCCCCAAAGCTCGATAAAAGAGGCACCTTTCAGCATCACCAAAATGCAGTTTAATGCTGTGGTTCAGGTTTGCAATTTGTTTACGTTTTATGATTCTAGATAGTAACAACACCACAAGCACTGTTGTTGTTGTTTTTTTTGAGTCTGTGGTATAAAAAGTACCCAAACGGATTTAAGTGGAGTGCTTCCGACACCGACGATATCATACGGCGCGCCAGTTCAGCTAGTGCACGGTATCGGTTGTTTACGGGCAAGCATAAAAATCAATGAAACTCCATCAGATACATCTTACCTATGTTATTGTTCAAACTGTTTGTTTATTGCATGGGTCATTCATTCTGCTCAGTCTGGGGTTTATTTATGTAAATATGTTAAATATGAGCTGAATTACAGGTAAATTTTTGATGCTGAAAAAATGAGCGGCAAAACTGACTGAGCACAAAGAAAAAGTAGCCTTTCCTATACTTCGAGTTAACCAGGCCTTGTTAAAAAAAAACCCACGTCACTCATTGTGCAATAAAAACCCACGTCAATCATTGTGCAATAAAAACCACGTCACTCATTGTGCAATAAAAACCACGTCACTCATTATGTAATTACTCATTAGGCAGACCCTCCACAGACGGCACACGGCACGCGGCACACAGCACACAGCACATGGCACGCGTGCGAAATAAAATTAAACACAACCATTTAGAGTTGCACACTCCACTGACGGCACGACACAGCCACGACGAAACATTGCGTGCCTTGCTTTGCTGCATTGCTCGTTTTTTGTGTCGTGTGCTG